AGTTTCATGAGCAGAAAATCTGATATATAAAACTGTGGATGACAAGACTTCAAATAGCCCTGTTTAAAATTATAAACACATCAACCACAAGAGGCACTTGCTACTCCACACAGTATTTCAAAAGCACCTGTAGGATTTTAGAAAGCATCTAATCCTTTTAGACCTCAGGGCCTTTCTCATTAAGAGGACCATTAATTTAGTAACACAAGATCATTAAACTTTTAACATTCAGACATTTATATCAGTAGCATTTTATAGTATAAAACTTAAAATTTAGCACCACTTCACATCTTGACAGTACTTCTAATATAATCCAAATAGCCTGATTAGTTGTGTCTCTCTATGATGAGACATATGTCTTTGAAATTTCCAGGAGCACATCTGGAATTGTCAAAGTGTAAATTTTTGGAATTTTGATTTTTTGAATGACTGTCAAGGATGTCAAGAAAGCTCAAAATCTAAAATATCTGGTTGAAATAAAATTCTTTAACATCATGACATTATATAGACCAAATCTGATCCTTGTTACAAGGTGACTATTCAAATGCTTGGAAAAAAAAAAAAAGCACATATTTAAATAACCCACAGCTCTAAATAAAAACTCAGCTATTTTTAAATAATTAGGATTTAACAGAGACATCAAGGGAACATAATAGATAGCTTTAACTCACTGCTTTAAGAATCATATCCTGGCTGGCACCGCGGCTCACTAGGCTAATCCTCCGCCTAGCGGCGCCGGCACACCGGGTTCTAGTCCCGGTCGGGGCGCCGGATTCTGTCCCGGTTGCCCCTCTTCCAGGCCAGCTCTCTGCTGTGGCCAGGGAGTGCAGTGGAGGATGGCCCAAGTGCCTGGGCCCTGCACCCCATGGGGAGACCAGGTTAAGCACCTGGCTCCTGCCATCGGATCAGCGTGGTGCGCTGGCCGCAGCGCGCCAACCATGGCGGCCATTGGAGGCAAAAGGAAAACCTTTCTCTCTGTCTCTCTCACTGTCCACTCTGCCTGTCCAAAAATTAAATAAATAAAAAAAATAACTTATAAAGTGTTACTCAGGTTCTATGTCAATTTCTCCAGGTTTATTTTAACTCGTCAACTAATTTTCTACTGCCAAATTTTATGTGCCTGGAGAGCAGGCACTGGGTCTGCTTTCTACACCAAAAGACAGTGTATGACATTAGAAAGATAGATCATTAATTAATGTTCAAAAATACACAAGGTCAATGAACTCATGGGATAGTAGGACTGATGGATAGCTGGACTAGTGGGTGGATGGAAGGATAGTTGTGTGGATGAATGGGTGGTTGTATGTGAGTAGATGAATGGGTGATAGGTAGGTGACTGGTTGTGGATGGATGGGTAGTTGTATGTTTGGATGAGTTGGTATGTTCATGAGTGTATGAATGGGTGGATAGGTAGGTGACTGGATTCTTGGATGACTTGATCAGATGGACTGAGAAGAAGCCAAGAAGTCTAGGAGGCTTAGGATTTCATGGAGATGCTTGACAGGATTCTGTGAGAATTTTTCCTCAAGTGGCTAAATGCAGATTTTCTAATCATCACTTAATATATGCAGAGCATATGTATAGAGGGTATTATCATGATCTAAAAGGACTAGAGTAGAAATGGAAGCTTCTAGTACATGTCATAATATGACTGTATTGTAACTTCAAATGATGATCAGAGGGCCCTGGAACAACCTGTCATAAAATAGGCACATCAGATGGCTTCTGGATCTTTAAAGTGGCTTGCTGTAAAGGCACTCTCCAATTGTCAGTCATATACAAAAGTCATACCATGAATTATATTGAAATACCCTAGAGAACCCCAACAATTATCAAGCTGAATAATCTCACATTAACATAGTACTTAAAGAGTTGGAAATGTCTTTCTATATGTATTTACTCATTTAATTTTCCCACCTTTTTGTGAGGCATGCACTAATCTCATTTTACAATGAAAATCGAGCATCAGATAGGTTGAGAGATATGCTTTAATAATGGATAAAACTGTTTACATGAATGAAGTCAATGGCCATTTGTGTCTTTTCATCCTATATTGAGTGCCTTTTCTCTTTCCTGATACCTGTGGGTAGAGGAAATGTATAGTACAAAGTGGCACACTGCAAAATCAATCCATGCAGGACTGATAAGTCAATGGGCAAACACTGGGAACTTAAGTTTTTTGTCATACATTGTCTCATGTACAACACATCCCTATTTTTTTCCAGAGAACACACAGGAATGGAGAACAAAGTGTTCCATCCCAACCTCATTATTCTTTGGCAAACCCAATAAAATTCTCTCCTCCTACAGAATCTGACAGGCACACAGATGAATTCACCAGTTCCTAAAGAAATTCTTTCTTTACTGTTCTGACATACTGAGTGTCCAGGCTTGCAAAATACCAGAGTGGAATGTACCCTGGCCCTTGCCTATGCTGCTGCTGGCTCCTGACTTCAGAGCAGCACAGCACCGCTGTTGTGACCATCTGGGAGTGAACAAATGGTTCTCTGTCTCTCTCTCTAACTCTGCTTCTCAAATAAATAAAATCTATAAATTAAAAAAAAAAAAAAAAAGAAACCTGACAGAGTACTACAACCAAACCCACAGTCAGTCACAGGCAGGCATGGTCAATCAAAACTTAGACACAGAAAGCTAGAATTAATCAAACCCATACACACATAGCCACTCGAACCTGAGACAGACAAGTCAGAACAAATCTAAAGGAGAGAAAACAGCTCTGAGAGGCAGTAACACAGATGCAGCCATGGGCAATAAAACCTGAAACAGAGAGAAGGTAGAATCAGTTGAACCCACAGACTAACAGACGGAGGTAAGGCCAATGAAACCTCAGACAGACATACAGAAGTCAGAAAGTGGCACAGAGGCAGCCATGAGCAATCAAACTTGAGACAGTTACAGAGAGAGGTAGAGACAGAGAGAGAGGTCTTCCATCCGCTGGTTCACTCCCTAGATGGCCACAACATCCACAGCTGAGCAGATCTGAAGCCAGGAGCCAGGAGATTCCTCCGGGTCTCCCATGCGGGTGCAGGGGCCCAAGCACTTGGGCCATCTTCTACTGCTCTCCCAGGCCACAGCAGAGAGCTGGATCAGAAGAAGAGCAGCTGGGACTAGAACCAGCACCCATATGGGATGCCGGCACTGCAGCGGCGGCTTTACCCACTATGCCACAGCACTGGCACCATAAATTTATATTTTTCATTTCATTTCTTATTAATGTTGTGAAGTACACTGCCATTCTGCTGGGTATTTCAATTCAGAATAGTGTTACAATCCCAAGAGAGGCTCTCAGGGAAGTTTCCTGCTCACCCATCCATTCATTAAGCTGCTCAAGCTGCAACCATAGCAAGTTCCTGGGGACACTACAGGACCTTGTGCACTTGCTGCAACCACCTGGGAGACACACAAAACCACATGGCTGAATCATATTTGTTTGCCAATCAATGGCAGAAAACTTTAAACAGTAAAATAACATGAGAGAAAACTGTTTATAAAGTTTTTCTCAGAGAAAATGCCTATGACAACTTGTAACCATGCATCTTCCAAATATTCCAAATGAGAACCGTTATGTTCTGAAGACTGTTTGAACTGTGAACACGTGATTTTTTTTGTATATCATGGGAGAAAACTTCCTGCAGCAAACGGATAAATGGTACACAGATGATAGAAAAATATCCATGAATGAAAGATATTTGCACTACTATGAGTATGACAGCTCAATTTATGATACCTCACATATAGAATCAATCAACTTATCCATCAACTCATGCTGAATTTTAAAATTCTGTTAAATATACACTATGGAATACTACTCATGCATAAAAAGGAATGAAAGCCTGTCTTTTTAACAAAATGGATGTGACTTGAGATCATGTTGCGTAATGAAATAAGGCAGTTCCTAAAAGACAAATATGTTTTCCTCTGATATACAGTACTCAGTGCAAAAACAATGCATAAAAATGAAACTTACATGTTTTTCATTGCTTTTTGAAGCAATAAGGAAATGTCCATCTCAAGCTCACCTTTTAGCTTTGGGTGGTTTGGGAATGGAATACAGGTGAATTCTATAGCAGTATATTATCATTTCAAATCCTTTCTTCTCAGCACCTGCAATCCTCAACTATTTTCTCCTCTCTCCTTGTCTCCTTTACTTCTGCATGTTTCCAACCATGGAGTCCCTCACCTTATTAACAATTCTGTCATCACACCCTGCCTTCTGGGGTTGGGCAGTTCCCTTGCCCTCTGGGAAAAGTGATGCCTTACTGCATTCTGAGATAATAAAGCTCCATTGTGTTTCTTGGAAAATGAGGTTCCAGTCTTCTTGTGAAGACAGATGTCCCATTACATTGAAAATGACAGGAAGTTTTGTGTACACAGGAAGAATACCATACTCCAAGTTCAGGAAAAGATTTACAATTTTTTGGTTTAAAAAATTTACTAAGAAGTTAGTTTTCCACTTAAATACTGAATTCATCTGTTTATGAAGCTTAAACTGGATTACAATGGATGACTGTTATAAATAAAATTTCACCTTTTAGCATACTTTTCATAGAGTAAAAAATACTCGATGTACCTTACCATCTTGACAATTTTTCCATGCATGCTAAAGAAAATGGCATCAATTACTATGCTACTTCTTCCAGTTTCATATACTATTTCTGGAGCCACAAGTCTTATAAATTCAAAACTGTAACATACATCCTTATTTTGAAAACTGCATTTTACAAATGGACTTACAAGGATGAAAACAAATAGTTACAAAAATATAAAAGGTAACAAACTCAGTATAAAAATACTTAAGCTGACACCATTCCAAAGTATATTTTGATCATTCTTAAATGTTATAGAGACCATAAATATATTTCTGAAAGATACAGAACAAGTCCATAGACTATAGAAATTAGTTAAATACTATTCCAGACAAATCTATGACTTTCAATTTGATTTTCAATTCTGATTAAACATCAATTTCTTGCAACTGTGACTGTCAATGGTTGAAAAGGCATTTCTTTCTCTTTTTTAAAAATGTTTTATTTCTAAGTCTCATTATATAAAAAATAAAGAATTAATATGTCACCTAAGATGGTTCAACATCAATTTTTAAAGAAATATAGTATAGTAAATACATTAAAAAAAAACGGAATTAAGACAATTTGTTTTAATAAACAATACTCATGGTAAATAAAGTTCTATTCTTCTTAAGTTGATGGTCAAAATTCCCAGTTAATGTCTTCAGAAAATGAAAACTGAATTCAATTTAGATCTGTAAGTGAAAAGAAAGAGACCCATGAAGAAATAATTATTGTAACATAGGAATCTCTTCAGGATTACATGTCAAATTCCTTTTAAATGAAATAGATTATACATTAGATTTTCTCAATTCCTATCTACTGTTAGTAAAATCTTTCTGTTTCAGATGTTCTACTATGGGAAATATCCTTAAAAGTTCAGTATACCCTTCTGTCCTTTAACAATTAGATGAGGCACAGTCCTACCCAAATCTGTTCTCTGAGTGATTAGTCACAGGAGCAAAATTATATAACCTATAAACCTCCCAGAAAAATGATCCAGAAGTTGTTAGGATTTTAGGTAATGAAGGAAAAGTAAAATCTTATAAAAATGCACAAATCTACCCTGAATCCATGATAGTTACACTTTTGATGCTTGACAAAGAAATTAACTGTTAATACTTTCTACCCTTGGGAATCCATCGTATCTAGGATCTGCAAAGGAAGTTCTGTATGGTTTTTTTTTTTTTTTTTTTTTTTTTTGACAGGCAGAGTGGACAGTGAGAGAGAGAGACAGAGAGAAAGGTCTTCCTTTGCCGTTGGATCACCCTCCAATGGCCGCCGCTGCAGCCGGCGCACCACGCTGATCCGATGGCAGGAGCCAGGAGCCAGGTGCTTTTCCTGGTCTCCCATGGGGTGCAGGGCCCAAGCACCTGGGCCATCCTCCACTGCACTCCCTGGCCATAGCAGAGAGCTGGCCTGGAAGAGGGGCAACCGGGACAGAAGCCGGCGCCCCAACTGGGACTAGAACCCGGTGTGCCGGCGCCGCAAGGTGGAGGATTAGCCTATTGAGCCACGGCGCCGGCCGGAAGTTCTGTATGTTTTAAGATAGATTAAGATATATAGTATAAACTATATATTAAACTTATATAAAACCAGCAGATTACTTTGTGTTTAAAATTTTTTAATGCACATACACAAAGATACTAGCCTTCATAATTTTTGGAAACTCTGGTTATTATATTGCATGAACTTGGTCAAAAACAACTGCAAAAAACCATTTTGTGTTTTTCTATGTGTGCATTGTTTGTGTGTGCAACTATGCAGATTTTTTTTCTGAACTATTTTTGTTGCACTGTGGTAAGAAAAAATCTAGATTGAAATGTAAGCTATATAGTTATTTTAATAGATAAACAGAAAATCAGGATGTTTCATTTAAATTGAGTTAACAACAGAACAGTAGCAAGGCATTCAGTTCTGTGTCCTCATCACTTTTTTAGGTTTGCACAAAATAAGCATGCAACAAGACCAAACCAAGGATCTGGGCAATAACAATGCCTCACAAAGAAATTAGTATTTTCCTATTACATGCTCCATAATATCTGTCTCCACAATCAGGCTTTAAGAGTTTGCAGTAGGGCCAGCACACTGTGGAATAGTGGGCTAAGCTTCTGCCTTGAAGAGCAGTATCCATGCTGCTCCGTATCTGATCCAGCTACCTGCTAATGGCCTGTGAAATCCAGCTAAAGATGGCCCAAGCAGAAGGCCCTGCCACCCATATGGGAGATCCAAATGAAGCTACCTAGACCAGCACTGGCTGCTGCAGCTATCTGCAAATGGAAGATCCTGTCTCTCTCTGTCTCTCTTCACATCTCTTTCAAAATAAGTAAATTAGCCCCTGCACCACATGGAAAAAGCTCCTGGCTCCTGGCTTCAGCTCAGCACAGATGCAGCCATTGCAGACATTTGGGGAGTGAACCAGAAGATGGAAGACCTCTGTCTCTCTCTCTCATACCTCTCTGTAACTCTGCATCTCAAATAAACCTTTAAAAAAATGCAGCAACTTCAGTATATCACTAAGTTAGTTCAAACAAAAATCTTCTACTATTTTATTTAACAGAAATATCTATTTAGATACTCTGCTTATACAAACTGTAACCATGCAATATCCACTGGGAAAGTTAATAATTACTTTTCAGAAAGTGCTTGTCCAAGTATAAACACGTAGATTGGCTAGATTGTTTCTAATAATATATTCAAATTCACAGCATTTCCATTATGCATTAAGCACTAAACATTATTAGCAAACACACCCCCTCAACCTTTAGGGTCATGTACTTACATCATCAATGTCTTCATCATCATCTCCAATATCATCAAACTGGATTTCATCAGCATCTCCAGGACCAAATGTATCGGTTTCATTGATTTTAGCTAAATAAATAATAAATGCATAAAAAACATTCATTACACAATTAAAATGTTATTAAAATGAGTAACCGCAAGAGTCTTATTATAGGCCAACCTTCCATTCAACCAAAGTTCTGCTATTAGGAGCAAAATATATTGCTTTATGAAGCTATATAAAGCAATCTAACAACAAAATCCCCCAGAAATTCATCTATTCCTAAGTCATTACAACAGAGAATATATGTGCTGCACTTTTGTTCAGTGCAACATAATTTTAATAACATTTTAAAAATTTAACAATTTAAAAACATCAAATGAGTATGACTAAACAACATGTAGTCACATGAAGTATAAAACATCATGAGATTAAAACAACTAGTTCTACAACTACTGGAGAAACTTAGCAAACCAGAGCAAGATTTAGTCAAATCATGTTTATCATTTAAGAAATAACAGTGACGCACAGCTTGTGCTGTGGCATACTGGGCTAAGCATCTGCCTGCAGCGACACCATCCCATATGGGCACCAGTTCGAGTCCTGGCTACTTCATTTCTGATCTAGCTCTCTGCTCTGGCCTGGGAAAGCAGTTGGAGATGGCTCAAGTCCTTGGGCCCCTGCACCCACATGGGAGACCCAGAGGAAGCTCCTGGCTCCTGGCTTCAGATCAGCACAGCTCTGGCCATTGCGGCCAATTGGAGAGTGAACCAGTGGGTGGAGGACCTCTCTCTCTCTGTCTCATCTCTATGTCTCTCTGTAATTTTGTCTTTTAAATAAATAAATAAATCTTTTTAAAATAAATACATAATAAAAGAGAAAAGGAGGTGCTAGACTAATTCACAGACATCGGCACTTCCTCAAATGCAAAGAATTTCAATTGATTTTCAGATCTTTCTCTGTGTCTCTCCCTCTCACTGTCTGCAACTCTACCTCTCAGATAAATAAATAAAATCTTTTAAGAAAATGAAAACTATGAGTCGGCTGAGAAATGTTAAATGGAAAAATGCTAATAATGTGTTACTTTGACAGACGTTTATACAAATCCAGGTTTCAAAGTTTTGCAAACTTACAAACTCACCAGAAAGTGTATATATTTAATGTCACAGACAACTCCATGAAAATTCCTTCAACTAAACACAAAGAATGAAAATATCTATGACATAGCCGGCACCGCGGCTCAGTAGACTAATCCTCCGCCTTGCGGCGCCGGCACACCGGGTTCTAGTCCCGGTCCGGGCGCCGGATTCTGTCCCGGTTGCCCCTCTTCCAGGCCAGCTCTCTGCTGTGGCCAGGGAGTGCAGTGGAGGATGGCCCAGGTGCTTGGGCCCTGCACCCCATGGGAGACCAGGAAAAGCACCTGGCTCCTGGCTCCTGCCATCGGATCAGCGCGGTGCGCCGGCCGCGGCGGCCATTGGAGGGTGAACCAACGGCAAAAGGAAGACCTTTCTCTCTGTCTCTCTCTCACTGTCCACTCTGCCTGCCAAAATAAATAAATAAATAAATAAATAAATAAATAAATAAAATAAAATAAAAATAAAAAAAAGAAAAAAAAGAAAATATCTATGACAGAGTAGATTAATAATAATAGACATTACCATGTTCAGGAAGCTCGCCATATGCCTTCAGACTTCTAGCTTCATCTGCATTGTATTTTAAAATTACGTCTGCTTTGTTATCCTTAGAAATAAACAAACTTGTAAAACTCATAACACTGCACTGCTTTTCTTCCTTTACCCACCCGTACTCTAGTAAAAAATTCTAAAACAAATAGAAAAAAATATATAATTTTAAATAATTAAAAATATAGGACATCTGTAATTTCATCTGAATAAAGTAGGACAGGGAAACAATCTTCTATTTTTCATAAATCACTAAAAACAAGCAGTAGTAACAAAACATCATAATGACATACAAAATATTCAGTTTTGAAAAACAACAAATTATGACTTAAGAACAGGTTTTTGGAAAACTAAAGAGGCTGGGACAACCCTCAAATCCTATAGGAAAACTAGATTGAGTTTCAGGTTCCTGGCTTTGGCTTATTCCAGCTTTGACTGCTCTGTGCATTCTGCGAAGTTTTTTTCTTTTTTTTAAAGATTTATTTTATTTATTTGAAAGACAGATATACAGAGAAAGAGGAGGAGACAGAGACGTCTTCCAACGTTGGTTCACTCTCCAGTTGGCTGCAACAGCCAGAGCTGCACCTGGCTCCTGGATCGTGGAGCTCTGGCTGTTGCAGCCAACTGGACAGTGAACCAACGGATGGAAGATGTCTCTTTCTCTGCTTCTCTCTGTAAATCTTTCAAATAAAGGCCTTTCTTTCTCACTCACTGCTTCTGTCTCGGGCTCTCTGTAACTCTGCCTTTCAAATAAATAAATAAATATTTAAAATAAATACATATATAAATAGAAACTGTATTGACCAAGTCTTCTTACAAAAAATAAAAACAAATACACGATTAATAAATTGTAGTAAAAACACTATAGTGTTAAACAAAATGCAAACAGCAGAATGGTTAAAAACACACTGGCCTAGAATTGCCCAACAATGTTAATTCTGTGTTTCCTAACAATTAATGACTTGCTATGGAGGCTGCAACATAAATTTAAACTTAGTTTTTACCTGATACTCTCGGAGACCAATCAAAATAATGTCTGAGGTATTTATCCAAACCTATGAAACAGATTTTACAGCATATTATTTTCATTTGAAGATGATTTTAATGTTAAATGAATCTTTCCACAAAACACATACTACAAAGGGTTTTCCAACAGTTCAGAAAGAAATTAAAAAAGAAATTCTGGTACCCAAAATATGAAATCCACACATAGGAAGTCTCTTCAAAAGTGTTCAAGTGAAATGGATACTATCATTAAACAATGTATACATTTCAAAAGGAATCTATAGGACTTCACATTCAAATTTCTCATACCATTTGCAGTTCTATTTAACTAAAATGTAACACATATACTGAATGAATTACCCATCTCTTTTGTCACTTTTAAAACTAAAAAATTGTTTTTTTCACATTAACATTTAGTTGAATGTAGTACTGTAGAAATCATTTATCATTTCTATATTAACTATCCAGTAAACATTTACAGCTACAATATATAATTCTTTATACAAATAGAATCTTTTGAGAAGTTTAATTTGTGTTCTCAAATAAATAACTGTTTCGTTTTAAGTCTTTGGCAATTTACAAAATTGAACTGCTTGGCAAACAGTTGTATACCTGAAGTAAAGTAATTCTTTGCAGCAAATTTTATAATAAAAGAAATCTATACACCTACCTTCTTTCTCAATTTTCCTCTAATATGGCATAATCGCTTTACACCATCAAAGCACATTGCTTCTAATCGTCCATTTCCCAGCATTTTGATTACTTGTGCATACTCTGAGGAGAATAAAAGAGTTGCAAAAAATGTTCTTTGTTCTCATAAAAATCTCAGTGATTTTTTTCAAGATTTATTTATTGAAAAGTCAGACTTACAGAGACAGAGAGAAACAGAGCCAGACAGAAATACAGAGAGATTGCCCTTTTGTTGCTTTATTTCCCCAAGGGCCACAAAAAACTCTAGGCTGAGTCATTTTCTACTGCTTCTCTCAACCAACAACATCGGGCCCAATTTCAGTAGAAACAAGCCTAGGAATAAGCAATCTGATACAGTGGGCTGGGTTGCCTATATCACATGCCAAAGTCATCACCGCTCCAGTTCTGATGCAGCTTCCTGTTAATGTACCTGATGACCACACAGGAGAGCTAAATGGTGTTCTTGGCTGCAGGCTTCCACCTACCCAAGCCCTGGCTGTTATAACCACTTGTTGAAAGAAGTGGTGGTGGAAGATGTCCTTCTCCATGTCACCCTCTCTCTTTCTCTCTGTGTTTCAAAGAAATCTTTAAGAACATGAGTGCAACAACAAATGGTAGCTCTTTCTCTTTTTCTCAAAAAAAAGCCATTCTTTAAAAAAATCTGAGCCTGATTTAATTATTGCACATTTGTATATATGAATCTATTACCATACTATACCACAAAAATATGGGCAATTAAAACAATAATTTTAAAATAAAGAAAAAATAAAAATATGAATGATAGCACACAGCAATCTTCTAGAAATAATCAATAAACAAATAGAAGGGAAACAGATTACAAAATCCTCACAAGAGTAAAATTTCAGAACTCTATGACACAATATTGATGAATTTATAATTATATTTTCATTAATTTGAAAACCTAAATTGTGAAGTTTTCACATGTTAGCTGGTCACTTTTCCTGATTTCTGAGTTAACTGTCCAATGTGCATTTTTTTAAAGATTTTATTTATGGGGCCAGTGCTGTGGTGCAGTGGTTTAACACCCTGGCCTACAATACTAACATCCCATTTGAGCACCGGATTCTGTCCCGGTTGCCCCTCTTCCAGGCCAGCTCTCTGCTGTGGCCCGGGAGTGCAGTGGAGGATGGCCCAGGTCCTTGGGCCCTGCACCCCATGGGAGACCAGGAGAAGCACCTGGCTCCTGTCATCAGATCAACGCGGTGCGCTGGCCGCAGCAGCCATTGGAGGGTGAACCAATGGCAAAGGAGGACCTTTCTCTCTGTCTCTCTCTCTCACTGTCCACTCTGCCTGTCAAAAAATAAAATAAAAAAATAAATAAAATGAAGTAAAAGTAAGAAAAGAGAGAAGTGAGCTGGCTTCAAGACCATGTCCGCCCGGAGTCGCAGAAACAGGACGCACACACAAACCCGGCCTGTGATTGGCCCCCGGGTCTGAGACAGGGGGAAGCCATTGGCTGCCCGACGTGTCACCCAGGCGAGTCCAGCCCAGACGGAGGGCGAGGTCGGCGGCGAGGCTTCCGGGAGTTGTAGTCTCCCCGCTCCGCCCTGTCCAAGCCTACTGTGGCTGGACGGTGTGAAACCAGGACATTTGGCCCACAGATGATAAAAGCAAAATGATAATTTCGGTCAGGAAAATTAGATCAAGGAGCTTTATTTAAAAGAAAAGAGAGAAGAGAGCTGTGTGGAATCGCGGTTCAGCACCACTTCCGCCCCGAGCCGCTGAAACAGGAAGCACACGCCTGCCCAGCGTCTGATTGGTCCCCGCGTCTGAGACGGGGGGAGCCATTGGCTGTGAACTCGTCATTCTGCGCCCAGAACCCCACCCCCTGAGGCTCCACTGTCTGCTCTCGACTGGACGGGGAACCTGTTCTGAGAGGAGGAGCGTGGTGGGGGCAAGAGGTGCGGAGTCACCCCACGGACTCCGGGAGGCGGGTGAGAGCAGTCCTGAGGCGGGCAGCCAGCAGACTCATTTATTTCAGTTGCTACAGCTGCTTCTACGGCCAAGACAGCCCATCCAGTCAAGGGGCGGTCTAGGCCCTGACCAATCACAGCCTGTGGCCAGGCGGTTTCCAAAGCCATCCAATCACAGCCTGTGGCCAGGCAGGCTCTTGGTGCCAGGCAGGTTCTGAAACCATCCAGTCACGGCCTGCCATCACTCAGGCTCTGTTGTCATGTGGTTTCCTCTGTTGTCATGTGGTTTCAGAAGCCATCCAATCACGGCCTGGTGCCAGGCAATTTCTGTGGTCAGCGGCCATCTTGGCATGACCTTTTCTCCTCGGCGGCCATCTTGGCATGACCTTTTTCCCTCAGTGGCTATCTTGACAGGACCTCTTCACCTTAACGACCTTTTCACCTTACCCCTTGCCATAGTGCACAGGGAACCCGTCAGCCTGCGACCAGACACTCCCCCTTAGCTCTCATGCCTGGACATTGTGGTCCAGGATCCTTTCCGTCTGTGGCCAAACCTGGGAACCTTTCCATCTGCGGCAGGAATCTCACGTCCTTGGCTCACCTGCCTGCCCCTGAGGGGACCAGGAACCTGTCGGTCAGCAGCCAGAGCCCACCCCCTTAGTCTCCACTGAGTGGCCCTGACGGGACCGGGAACCTGTCGGCCTGCTGACAGAACCCCATGTCATTGGCTCCGCTGACTGCCCCTGACAGCATGGGAACCTGTCAGTGTGTGACCGGAAACCAACCGCCTTAGCTCCTCTGCCTGCCCCTGATGGAGGTGGAATCTGTCACTCTGCGGCCAGAACCCCACATGCTTGGTTCCACTGACTTCCCCCTAATGGACCCAGAACCTCTCAGCCTCTGGCCAGACCCCACCTCCTTGGCTCCCCTTCCTGCCCCTGATGGGACCGGGAATCTGTCAGTCTGCCGCCAAAACCCCACCCCTTAGCTCCCCTGCCTGGCCGTTCTGGACCGGGAACCTGTCAGTCTGCCACCAGAACCCCACCTCCATGGCTTCCCTGACTGCCACTGACAGAACTGAAACCCTGTCAGCCTGCGTCCAGAACCCCGCCTCCTTAGCTCCCCTGCCTTTCCCTGATGGGACCAGGAACCTCTCAGTCTCTGAGCAGAACCCCACTCCATCTGCTCCCCTTCCTGGACATCCTGCACCGGGACCTGTCAGTCTGACTCCAGAACCCAAACTCCTTAGGCTCCCCTGCCTGCCCCTAACAGCACCGGGTCATGTCAGTCTGCGACCAGAGGCTCACCTGTCTGCCCCTGACTCGACCTGGAACCTGTCAGTCTGCGGCAGGAATCCCACGTCCTTAGCTCCCCTGCCTGCCCCTGACTGGACCAGGAACCTGTCAGTCTGCAGCCAAAGCCCCACCCAGCTTGGCTCCACTGAGTGCTCTTGACAGGACCGGGAACGTGTCAGTCTGTGGCCAGAACCCCACGTCCATAGCAGACCGCCTGCCTTTGATAGACCTGGAACCTGCAGTCTGCAGAAAGAACCCCACCACCCTGCCTCCCTGTCCTACTCCACACGGACATGGAACCTGAAAGTCTGCCGCCAGAACCCCACATCCTTAGCTCCTTTGGCTGCCCCTGATGGGACCAGGAGCCTGTCAGTCTGCATGCAGACTTCATGTCCTTAGCTCCCCTTATTGTCCCTGACTGGACCAGGAACCTGTCAGTGTGCAGCCAAACCCCACATCCTGAGCTCCACTGCCTACCCCTGTTGGAAATGGAACCCGTGAGTCTGTGGCCAGAACCCCACCCACTTTGGCTCCCCTGCCTCCCCTTGACGGACTGGGAACCTGTCAGTTGCGGCCAGAACCCCATGTCCTTAGCTGCCCTTACTGCCCCTGACTGGACCGGGAACCTGTCAGTGTGCAGCCAGAACCCCACATCCTTAGCTCCACTGCCTGCCTCTGTTGGACCCAGTACCTGTAAGTCTGCGGCTAGAACCCCAGCTCCTGGGCTCATTTCCCGCCCCAGATGGACCCGGAATGTGTCAGTCTGCCACTAGAACCCTAACTTCTTTGCTCCCCTGACTTGCCCCTAACTGGAGCAGGAACCTGTCAGTCTGCAGCCAGAACCCCACCCTCTAGTCTCTGCTGAGTGCCCCTGACAGGACCGGGCACCAGTCAGTCTACGGCCAAAACTCCACCCCCTTAGCTCCCTTGCCTGACCATACCGGACCAGGAATCTGTCAGTCTGTGGCCAGAACCACACGTAGCTAACTCCCCTTCCTGGCGTCACTGGACCGAAATGTGTCACTCTGAGGCCAGAACCACCCTCCTTGGCTCCCCTGACTGCCACTGATGGGACCGGGAACCCGTCAGTCTGCAGCCAGAACCCCAACCTTGAGGCTCCAGTGAGTCCCCCTGATGGGACTGGGATCCTTTCAGTCTGCGGACAGAACTCCACCCCTTAGCTCCCAGGCCTGCCCCTGACTAGACCAGGAACCTGTCAGTCTGTGGCCAGAACCCCACCTCCTTGGCTCCCCTGACTGTCCCTGACTGGACCGGGAACCTGTCAATCTGTGGCCAGAACCCCACCTCCTTGGCTCCTCTGACTGTCCCTGACTGGACCAGGAACCTGTCAGTCTGTGGCCAGAACTCCACCCCTTAGCTCCCAGGCCTGCCCCTGACTGGACCCGGAATCTGTCAGTCAGTCTGCGGAAGGAACCCCACCCATGTCCTTAGCTCCCTGCCTACTCCTGATGGGACCAGAGACCTGTCGTCATTCTGTGGCCAGAACCCCACCTCCGTAGGCTACGCTGCCCGCCCCTGACTGGACCAGGAACTTGTGAGTCTGCAGCCAGAACCCCACCCCATCAGCACCCCTACCTACCCTTGATGGACCCGCAACTGTCACCTGTGGCCAGAACCCCGCCTCCTTAGGCTCCCCTGCCTACCTGTGACGGGACTCGGAACCTGTCAGTCTCGACCAGAGCCTAACCTGCGTGGCTCCCCTGACTTTCCCTGAGGGGGCCAGGAACCTGTCACTCTGTAGCCAGAACCCCACCTCATTGGGCTCCCCTGACAGCAACGGGAACCTGTCAGCCTGTGGCCAGATCCCCATGTCCTCAGCTCCCCTGCCTGCCCCTGATAGACCTGAACCTGTCAGTCTGTGGCCAGAACCAACCTCCTTGGCTCCCCTGACTGCCCGCGATGGGACCAGGAACCTGTCATGCTGCTGCCAGAACCTTAGCCAGAACGCCTTAGCTTCCCTGCCTGGCCATATGGACCGGGAACCTGTCCATGTGCGGCCAGAACCCCACATGCTTAGCTCCCCGGCTTGTCCCTGACTAGACAGGGAACTTGTATGTCTGTGGCAGGAACACCATCCTCTTACACCACCCTGCCTGCCCCTGACTGGAACCAGAGCCTGTCATTCTGCGGCCAGAACCCCACCTCCTTGGCTCCCCTGACTGCCTCTTTCTGGCCTGAGACTGCCTCTTTCTGGCCCCTGAGGCAGGGGCAGGCAGGGGAGCTAAGGGGGTGGGATTCTGGCGGAAGACTTACAGGTTCCCCGTCCAGTCAGGGGCAGAAATAGCGCCAAGAGGGTGGGGTGCTGGCGGGAGACTGACAGGTTCCCCGTCCGGTCAGGGGCAGAAGGACCGCCGAGGCGCTGGGGTTTAGGCGGGAGACTGACAGGATGCCGGTCCAATCAGGGGCAGGCAGGGGAGCTAAGGGGGTGGTTTTCTGGCGGGAGACTGACAGGTTCCCCGTCCAGTCAGGGGCAGAAATAGCGCCAAGAGGGTGGGGTTTAGGCCGGAGACTCACAGGTTCCCCGTCCAGTCAGGGGCAGGCAGGGGAACGCTAAAGGGGTGGGGTGCTGGCGGAAGACTGACAGGTTCCCCGTCCAGTCAGGGGCCGAAGCAGCGCCGAGGGGCTGGGGTTTAGGCGGGAGACTGACAGGATCACGGTCCAATCAGGGGCAGGCAGTGGAGCCTAAAGGGGTGGGTTTCTGGCGGGAGACTGACAGGTTCCCGATCCAGGCAGGGGCAGGCAGGGGAGCTAGGGATGCGGGGTTCTGGTTGACGACGGGCAGCTTTTGCTCCGAGTCAGGAGCTGGCAGGGGAGCCAAGGAGGTGGGGTTCTGGCGGGAGACTGACAGGGTCCCGTCCAGTCTGGGGCAGGCAGGACCGCCAAGGGGGTGGGGTTCTGGTGGCAGAGTGACAGTTTCCCGGTCCAGTTGTGGGCCGGCAGGGGAGCTAAGGCCTTGGGGTTTGGGCGCAGACTGACAGGTTCCTGGTCCAGTCAGGGTCAGGAAGGGGAACCAAGGAGGTGGGGTTCTGGCGGGAGACTGACAGGTTGCGGGTCCATCAGGGGCAGGCAGAGGAGCTGAGGTGGTGGGTTTCTGGTCGTACACTGAGAGCTTCCCGGTCCCGTCAGTGGCAGTCAGGGGCGCCAGTGAGCTGTGGTTTGAGCGGCAGACTGACAGGTTCCAGGTCCACTGGGGTAGGGAGGGGAGCTGAGGAGGTGGGGTTCTGGCTGCAGACTGGGAGGTTCCGGGTCCCATCGGGGCAGGCAGAGGAGACGAGGTGGGGTCCAGGCTGCAGAAAGAGAGATTCCTCGTCCAGCAGGGGCAGGCAGAGCAGATAAGGAGGTGGGGTTCTGGCCACAGACTGACAGGTTCCCGTTCGGCGAGTCAGGGGCACTCGGGTGAGCCAAGAAACTGTGGACGTGTATTTCTTCCTGAGAGGATGCGTTCTGAGAGGAGGAGCGTGGTGGGGGCAAGAGGTGCGGAGTCACCGCACGGATGCCGGGAGGTGGGTGAGAGCAGTCCTGAGGCGGGCAGCCAGCAGACTGACTCGTTTATTTCAGTTGCTACAGCTGCTTCTATGGCCAAGACAGCCCATCCAGTCAAGGGGCGGTCTAGGCCCTGACCAATCACAGGCTGTGGCCAGGCGGTTTCCAAAGCCATCCAATCACAGCCTGTGGCCAGGCAGGCTCTTGGTGCCAGGCAGGTTCTGAAACCATCCAGTCACGGCCCGCCATCAGTCAGGCTCTGTTGTCATGTGGTTTCTGAAAGCATCCAATCACGGCCGGCTGGCTGTCAGTCAGGCTCTGTTGTCATGTGGTTTCCTCTGTTGCCATGTGGTTTCAGAAGCCATCCAATCACGGCCTGGTGCCAGGCAATTTCTGTGGTCAGCGGCCATCTTGGCATGACCTTTTCTCCTCGGCGGCCATCTTGGCATGACCTTTTTCCCTCAGTGGCTATCTTGAAAGGACCTCTTCACCTTAACGACCTTTTCACCTTACCCCTTGCCATAGTGCACAGGGAACCTGTCAGCCTGCGACCAGACACTCCCCCTTAGCTCTCATGCCTGGACATTTTGGTCCAGGATCCTTTCCGTCTGTGGCCAAACCTGGGAACCTTTCCATCTGCGGCAGGAATCTCACGTCCTTGGCTCACCTGCCTGCCCCTGAGGGGACCAGGAACCTGTCGGTCAGCAGCCAGAGCCCACCCCCTTAGTCTCCACTGAGTGGCCCTGACGGGACCGGGAACCTGTCGGCCTGCTGACAGAACCCCACGTCATTGGCTCCGCTGACTGCCCCTGACAGCATGGGAACCTGTCAGTGTGTGACCGGAAACCAACCGCTTTAGCTCCTCTGCCTGCCCCTGATGGAGGTGGAATCCGTCACTCTGCGGCCAGAACCCCACATCCTTGGTTCCACTGACTTCCCCCTAATGGACCCAGAACCTCTCAGCCTCTGGCCAGACCCCACCTCCTTGGGCTCCCCTTCCTGCCCCTGATGGGACCAGGAATCTGTCAGTCTGCCGCCAAAACCCCACCCCTTACCTCCCCTGCCTGGCCGTTCTGGACTGGGAACCTGACAGTCTGCGACCAGAACCCCACCTCCATGGCTTCCCTGACTGCCACTGACAGAACTGAAACCCTGTCAGCCTGCGTCCAGAACCCCGCCTCCTTAGCTCCCCTGCCTTTCCCTGATGGGACCAGGAACCTCTCAGTCTCTGAGCAGAACCCCACTCCATCTGCTCCCCTTCCTGGACATCCTGCACCGGGACCTGTCAGTCTGACTCCAGAACCCAAACTCCTTAGGCTCCCCTGCCTGCCCCTAACAGCACCGGGTCATGTCAGTCTGCGACCAGAGGCTCACCTGTCTGCCCCTGACTCGACCTGGAACCTGTCAGTCTGCGGCAGGAATCCCACGTCCTTAGCTCCCCTGCCTGCCCCGAACAGAACTGGGAACCTGTCAGTCTGTGGCCCGGTCCCCCCACCTCCTTAGGCTCCCCTGCCTGCCCCTGACTGGACCAGGAACCTGTCAGTCTGCAGCCAAAGCCCCACCCAGCTTGGCTCCACTGAGTGCTCTTGACAGGACCGGGAACCTGTCAGTCTGTGGCCAGAACCCCACGTCCTTAGCTGCCCGCCCGCCTTTGATAGACCTGGAACCTGTAGTCTGCAGAAAGAACCCCACCACCCTGCCTCCCTGTCCTACTCCACACGCACATGGAACCTGAAAGTCTGCCGCCAGAACCCCACATCCTTAGCTCCTTTGGCTGCCCCTGATGGGACCAGGAGCCTGTCAGTCTGCATGCAGACTTCATGTCCTTAGCTCCCCTTATTGCCCCTGACTGGACCAGGAACCTGTCAGTGTGCAGCCAAACCCCACATCCTTAGCTCCACTGCCTACCCCTGTTGGAAATGGAACCCGTGAGTCTGTGGCCAGAACCCCACCCACTTTGGCCCCCCTGCCTGCCCTTGACGGGACTGGGAACCTGTCAGTTGCGGCCAGAACCCCATGTCCCTAGCTGCCCTTACTGCCCCTGACGGGACCGGGAACCTGTCAGTGTGCAGCCAGAACCCCACATCCTTAGCTCCACTGCCTGCCTCTGTTGGACCCAGTACCTGTAAGTCTGCGGCTAGAACCCCAGCTCCTGGGCTCATTTCCCGCCCCAGATGGACCCGGAATGTGTCAGTCTGCCACTAGAACCCTAACTTCTTTGCTCCCCTGACTTGCCCCTAACTGGAGCAGGAACCTGTCAGTCTGCAGCCAGAACCCCACCCTCTAGTCTCTGCTGAGTGCTCCTGACAGGACCGGGCACCAGTCAGTCTGCGGCCAAAACTCCACCCCCTTAGCTCCCTTGCCTGACCATACCGGACCAGGAATCTGTCAGTCTGTGGCCAGAACCACATGTAGCTAACTCCCCTTCCTGGCGTCACTGGACCGAAACGTGTCACTCTGAGGCCAGAACCACCCTCCTTGGCTCCCCTGACTGCCACTGATGGGACCGGGAACCCGTCAGTCTGCAGCCAGAACCCCAACCTTGAGGCTCCAGTGAGTCCCCCTGATGGGACTGGGATCTTTTCAGTCTGCGGACAGAACTCCACCCCTTGGCTCCCAGGCCTGCCCCTGACTAGACCAGGAACCTGTCAGTCTGTGGCCAGAACCCCACCTCCTTGGCTCCTCTGACTGTCCCTGACTGGACTGGGAACCTGTCAGTCTGTGGCCAGAACCCCACCTCCTTGGCTCCTCTGACTGTCCCTGACTGGACCAGGAACCTGGCAGTCTGTGGCCAGAACTCCACCCCTTAGCTCCCCTGCCTGCCCCTGACTGGACCTGGAATCTGTCAGTCAGTCTGCGGAAGGAACCCCATGTCCTTAGCTCCCTGCCTACTCCTGATGGGACCAGAGACCTGTTGTCATTCTGTGGCCAGAACCCCACCTCCGTAGGCTACGCTGCCCGCCCCTGACTGGACCAGGAACTTGTGAGTCTGCAGCCAGAACCCCACCCCATCAGCACCCCTCCCTACCCTTGATGGACCTGCAACTGTCACCAGTTGCCAGAACCCCGCTTCCTTAGGCTCCCCTGCCTACCTGTGATGGGACTCGGAACCTGTCAGTCTCGACCAGAGCCTAACCTGCGTGGCTCCCCTGACTTTCCCTGAGGGGGCCAGGAACCTGTCACTCTGTAGCCAGAACCCCACCTCATTGGGCTCCCCTGACAGCAACGGGAACCTGTCAGCCTGTGGCCAGATCCCCATGTCCTCAGCTCCCCTGCCTGCCCCTGATAGACCTGAACCTGTCAGTCTGTGGCCAGAACCAACCTCCTTGGCTCCCCTGACTGCCCGCGATGGGACCAGGAACCTGTCATGCTGCTGCCAGAACCTTAGCCAGAACGCCTTAGCTTCCCTGCCTGGCCATATGGACCGGGAACCTGTCCATGTGCGGCCAGAACCCCACATGTTTAGCTCCCCGGCTTGTCCCTGACTAGACAGGGAACTTGTATGTCTGTGGCAGGAACACCATCCTCTTACACTACCCTGCCTGCCCCTGACTGGAACCAGAGCCTGTCATTCTGCGGCCAGAACCCCACCTCCTTGGCTCCCCTGACTGCCTCTTTCTGGCCTGAGAACCTGACAGTCGAGGACTACAACCCCACCTCTTGGATCCCCTGCCGGCCCTTGATGGAACTGGGAACCTGTCAGTCTGGGGCCAGAACCCCACCTCCTTGTCTCCCCTGCCTGCCGCTGATGGGACTGGTAGCTTGCCAGTCTAGGGCCAGAAACGCTGTCTTTGGCTCCCCTGCCTGCCCCTGACAGGACCGGGAACCTGTCAGTCTGCGGCAGGAACCCCAAGTCCTTAGCTCTCCTGCCTGCCCCTGACTGACCCAGAACCTGTCACTCTGCGACAGTTCCTGATCCAGTCAGGGGCACTCAGTGGATCCTAAGGGAGTGGTTTCTCCGCCATATCTGAATGTGAAAGTCCAGCTGGGTGCAGAAACTAGGGAAGAACAGACAGTGCACACATCTGGTCAGATGGCAAGTGTGTGACATTCAAGATGGTTTACAAAGTGGCCCACAACAGGTGATCTCTCCCTACCTCTTCATGTAGCGTGCCTTCAGACACTAACCCCTGGCTCACAACTTGAAGTCTATAAGGACGGAGACCCTCAGCTATCACTGAGTGGCTCAGAGGACACTGCATGGCTTGTGCTCAATCACTTGTGTCCCTGTTCAAAGCACAGTTTATGAAAATAATCATACAAGCCGGCGCCGCGGCTCACCAGGCTAATCCTCCACCTGCGACGCCAGCACACCGGGTTTTAGTCCCGGTCAGGGCACCGGATTCTGTCCCGGTTGCCCCTCTTCCAGGCCAGCTCTCTGCTGTGGCCCGGGAGTGCAGTGGAGGATGGCCCAAGTGCCTGGGCCCTGCACCACATGGGAGACCAGGAGAAGTACCTGGCCCCTGCCATTGCATCAGCGCGGTGCGCCGGCCGCGGCGGCCATTGGAGGGTGAACCAACGGCAAAGGAAGACCTTTCTCTCTGTCTCTCTCTCACTGTCCAGTCCTGCCTGTCAAAAAAAAAAGAGCCTATCAGCAAAAACCAAGACTCGTTCAAGGTGGTGAAGACCGCGCGTACGTTTCGGGAGTCTTATTTCAAGTTTTAATTCTTCTGCCAACACACTCATGGTAATCCCAGGCTAGTTGCTCTCGTTTCTGAATCGACGTGTCACCCACTGCGCCTCCCTCGTCTGGGCACTTCATCACTCACTCACTGAAGTTGCTGTTCAGAGTGTCCGCTGTGTCCTGTTCTCTCCTGCTCTAAAGTCACTGAGGAGACAGTACTGACGACGAAGCTGCAAACCCTTTCAAGAAGTCGTGTCTATACACGACCATGTTTTCAAGGCATTTCCGATGGATCTGACTGCCTGTCAAAAAAAAAATTAAAAAAAAAAACTGAGATATTGCGGGTCTTGGTATTAGAAGATGAGCAAACTTTGTAGTTATGAATCTGCCTTGTCCAGCGTGCTCTACACGCCATGTTGATGACCCTCCTCTCCCTGAGAGAAGAGCCAGCCTGAGCCGTGGAGTGAGTGGAGCAGAAAACCAGATTAAAGGATTACAGAACGCAGAACGGGTCAAGTCGGTTTTTCCTATCGAGAGACAGAAACTAGAGTGACCTCCCTGGAGCTCTCAAGGTCACATCTGGGTGCCTGGGCACGAAAAAAGCTAAAAAAAATACATATATATATATATCTCCAGGTTCTGGAACATTCTAGGACGTTCTAGAATGTTCCGGGATCCCTAGAATTTTTCCGAGGTGTTCTAGAATGTACCAGAACATCACCAAGTGAGTCTGGGGGGATTCTGGGATACGGGTCTGAGTAGAAGTTTCCCGGCTGGGTGTGACGGGTGTCCTGGTGCTGGCCTGGCCCTGCGGACATTGACGTGACATCCGGCGCCCACCGGGGCTGCGGAAACTTCCAGCACGTCGGCAGAGGGTCTCAGACCCCCCAGGACGCTCGCTGGGTTCTCTGGAACATACTGGAACATTCTACAACATTCCAAGACCCCAAAGACACTCACCAAGCGGTCCAGGGCATTCCTACGAACATTCTAGAAAATTCTACGTCATCCACCAGTATTCCGGAACACTCCAAGACCAGGCGCTCTAGAATATTCTAAGGCCCCGAGGACGTGCGCCGGGCTCTCTAGAACATTCTGGAACATTCCACAGAATTCCTCGCGATTCCAAGGACATTCCCTGGGCATTCTAGAACATTCTGGAATCCTGGAAACACCCACCAGGGGTTCTGGAAAATTCCAAGGCCCAAGAACGCACGACAGACTCTCCCAGAATTCCCTGGGAGCACTGACCGTTCCGGAACGTCCCTGGTGTCCACCAGGATGTTTGCACAACCTTCGGCCCGCCAACTCCTCCCCCAGCCCTGGCAATAAATAGACGCCGGGTCCCCGCCGGCTCAGACGACGACGAAGACGATGGTGATGAAGATGACGGGTGACGAAGGCTCTCCTCCTCGCCCTCACGGTGGGCGTGGCCTGTGCGGACATCGACCCCGCCCAGGTATCATTAATTTGCATCATTAGTTCCCAGTATTAATTCTCGTCATGAATTCATATCATTTCTTCACATCATTACTTCGCATCACTAATTCGCATCACTACTTTGCGTTGTTTCTTCAGCCGTATCATTAATGCGCGTCATTTCTTCACCTCCCCAGCTCTCCGGGCCCTGGCGCACCTCCGCCATGGCCTCCGACATCCTGGAAATGATCCTGGAGGATGGGCCACTCCGGATGCTGTTCCGCGAGATGGAGTGCAACGAGGACTGCAACGCCCTGAACGTCTTCTTCTATGTCAAGTGAGGGGCGGGGCCAGGGGAGACAAGCCGAGGCCACAGACAGAGAGCCAGGGGGGAGCAATCGAGCCCAGAGAGCGGGGAAGACAGGCGCCGCCAAGCCCAAGCGATCCCAGAGAGAGAGACAGAGCAGGCCAGGGCGACCAGCCGAGCCCAGAGAGAGAGATAGCAGACAGGAGTAGTTGAGCCCAGAGTCAGAGAGCATGTGGGCTAGAGGGGAGTAATGGAGCTGAGAGTGAGCAGACAGGAGTAGTTGAGCCCAGAGACAAAGAGCAAGCTAGGGGGGACCAGCCGAGCCCAGGGAGAGTGAGCAGACAGGAGTAGTTGAGCCCAGAGTCAGAGAGCATGTGGGCTAGAGGGGAGTAATGGAGCTGAGAGTGAGCAGACAGGACCAGCCGATCCCAGAGTCAAAGAGCAGGCCATGGTGGACCAGCCGAGCCCAGAGAAAGAGTAGACAGGAGCAGTTGAGCCCAGAGTCAGAGAACAGGTGGGCTAGAGGGGAGTAATGGAGCTGAGAGAGAGCAGACAGGACCAGCCGATCCCAGAGTCAAAGAGCAGGCCATGGTGGACCAGGCGAGCCCAGAGGGAGAGCAGACAGGAGCAGTTGAGCCCACAGCGAGTGGCCATGTTCCCGGTCTCTCCTTCAGGAAGAACGAGGTATGCACCCCGCACACGGTTGTGGCCCAGAAGAACGCAGACGGCATCTACACCACTGACTGTGAGTACAGAGCATTTCGGAAAGTTCCAGACAATTCCAGACGACCCCAGGGAATGTCCGGTGTGTTCCAGAATGTTCGAGAATGTTCCCAGAAATGTTCCAGGATGCTGCAAATGTCCCAGGATGCTCCAGTTCCTCAATGTTCTAGAATGTTCCAGAATGCGCTAGAATGTCCCAGCATGCCCCGGCACATCCAGAACACCCACCTCTCTCCCTACAGTCGAGGGCCAGACCTCCTTCCAGTTCCACGTATTGGATCCCGCTAGGCTCTTCGTCTTCATCAATAACATGGGGTCCAGCGGCACCACCAGCCGCCTCAGCTTCCTTGTGGGTGAGCCCCCCTCACACACACATGTACACTGCCGGTGCCCGCTAGGGATACGCACCACGACCCGAGAGTCTGAGCCCAACTGTATACAGGGAAAGGGGGGATACAGTCGGTGCCCACTGGATAAAGCGAGTGTATACAGTCAGTGCCCACTAGACATGGTGGGCATATACAGTCGGTGCCCACTAACGCTAGCATATACAGTTGGCGCTCGCTAGATGGGGTGAGTGTATACAGCCACTAAAGTGAGTGTATGCAGTAGGCTCACACTAAAGCAAGTGTACTCAGTCGGCACCCACTCTTGCCACAGTCAAATTGAAAGTCATAAATGACGACCGGCTGGAGGACTACGCGAGGCTCACGGAGCAGAATGGGATCCCGCAGAAGTACATCCGGCGTGTGGGCGACACAGGTGAGGCTGCGGCAGCTTCCGGGCTGACTTGGCGCTGACTCGGCGCTGACTCGGCTTTCCTCTCTCTCCAACAGACACCTGTCCACCCTGAGGACGCCTCCCTTGGAGAAGGTGCCAGAACATTCTAGACCATTCCAGAACCGCCCCTCCTGCACAATGATTCCTCCCCTGATCGCCTCACCATCTCCTCCCACCTGCGAACGCGCTAGTATGCTCCGGAACATTCTAGAGCATTCTGGATTGATCCAAGATGGTCTGGATTGTTCCAGAATTTCTAGAAAGCTTCGGAACATTCTAGAATCGGCCGTCCCCAGCTTTCTCTGCTTCCTGTTCATGGAATAAACTCATCCCAGGCACAGTCCCAGTCGTTTATTTTAAACGATTTTTATTGTTCCGTCAAAAGACAGAGTGAGCTGGTGGAGGAACCCAGGGGCTACCTCCGGGTCTCCCTGCACTGTCAGTCACCGTTCACTGACAAGGGGGTGGGCTCTGTCATCTGGTGGCTGTCAATCAGCCCTGAGTGACACTGGGGGGGTTCTCCCCGACTCCACTGGCAGCCAGTCACACTCCACCAGGATCCCAGGGCCACATCCGGGTCCCCATGGCCACATCCGGGTCTCCAGGGCAATATCCGGCTCCCCAGGGCTCCACTCATGTCCGCAGTGACACATCCAGGTCCCCAGGGGTACATCCTGGTCCCCAGGGCCACATCCGGGTCTAAGTGCTCCATCCGGGTCTCTGGGCTCCATCTGGGTCCCTAAGGGCTCCATCCGGGTCTCTGGGCTCCATCCGGGACTCCTGGCTCCATCCGAGTCTCTGGGCTCCATACAGGTCTCTGGGCTCCATCGGGGTCTCTGGTCTCCATCTGTATCTCTGGGCTCCATCTGGGTCCCTTAGGAAACATCCTGGTCCCTAAGGCTCCATCCGGGTCTCTGTGCTCCTTCAGGGTCACTAAGGCTACATCCGGGTCCTTAAGGTTTCTTCCGAGTCCTTAAGGCTCCATCCAGGTCTCTGGGCTCCATCCAGGTCTCTGGACCACATCCGGGTCTCTGGGCTCCATCCGGGTTTCGGGGCTCCAACAGTGTCCCTAAGGCTGCATCCAGTCTCTGGGCTCCATCCGAGTCTCTGGGCTCCACCCCGATCTTCAGGGCCACATCCAGGTCCCCAGGGCCATATCCGGGTCTCCAGGGCCACATCCGGTTCCCCAGGGCTCCATCCGGGTCTCCAGGGCCACACCAGGGTCTCCAGGGCCACACCAGGGTCTCCAGGGCCACATCCGGATCTCCAGGGCTCCCTCCAGGGCCATATCTGGGTCCCAGGGCTCCACCCAGGGTCTCTGGGCTCTCTCCAGGTCTCTGAGCTACATCCGGGTCCCTAAGGCTCCATCCTGGTCTCTGGGCTCCATCCTGGTCTCGGGGCTCTGCCCAAGTCTCTGGGCTCCATTCGGGTCCCTAAGGCTCCATCCGCATCCCTAAGGCTCCATGCGGGTCTTTGGGCTCCATCCAGGTCCCTAAGGATCCAACCGGGACTCCTGGCTCCATCTGAGTCTCTGGGCTCCATACGGGTCTCGGGGCTCTGCCCGAGTCTCTGGGCTCCATCTGGGTCCCTAAGGCTCCATCCGCATCCCTAAGGCTCCATGCGGGTCTCTGGGCTCCATCCAGGTCCTTAAGGCTCCATCTGAGTCTCTGGGCTCCATTAGAGTCTCTGGGCTCCATCCGGGTCTTTGGGCTCCATCCAGGTCCCTAAGGATCGATCCGGGACTCCTGGCTCCATCCGAGTCTCTGGGCTCCATACAGGTCTCTGGGCTCCATCCAGGTCTCTGGGCTCCATCCATATCTCTGGGCTCCATCTGGGTCCCTAAGGATCCATCCGGGACTCCTGGCTCCATCCGAGTCTCTGGGCTCCATCCAATTCCCTAAGACTCCATCCAAGTCCCTAAGGATCCATCCGGGTCTCTGGGCTCCATCCAGGTCTCTGGGCTCCATCCAAGTCTCTGGGCTCCATCCGGGTTCCTAAGGCTCCATCCGGGTCCCTAAGGCTCCATCCAGTTCCCTAAGGCTCTTCCGAGACTCTGGGCTCCATCTGGGTCCCTAAGGCTCCATCCGGGTCCATAAGGCTCCATCCGGGTCTTTGGGCTCAATGCGAGTCTCTGGGCTCCATCCGGGTCTCTGGGCTCCATCCATATCTCTGAGCTCCATCTGGGTCCCTAGGGCTCCATCCTGGTCTCTGGGCTCCATCCTGGTCTCTGGGCTCCATCCGGGTCCCTAAGGCTCCATCCGGATCTCTGGGCTCCATCTGGGTCTCTGGGCTCCACCTGGGTCTCTGGGCTCCATCTGGGTTCCTATGGCTCCATCCGGATCTCTGGGCTCCATCCGGGTCCCTAAGACTCCATCGGGGTCCCTAAGGCTCCATCCGGGTCTCTGGGCTCCATCCGAGTCCTTAAGGCTCTATCCGGTCTCTTGGCTCAATCCGAGTCTCTGGGCTCCATCCGGGTCTCTGAGCTCCATCCGGGTCTGCAGGGCCACATCGGGTCTCCCAGGGCTCCACATACGGGACCCAGGGCCACATCCGGTTCCCCAAGGGACATATCGGGGTCCCCAGGGCCACATCCAGGTGTCTCGGGCCATTACCGGTTCTCCAGGGCCACATCCGGGTCTAGGGCCACATCCAGGTCTCCAGGGCTCCATCCAGGTCTCCAGGAACATCTGGGTCTCCAGGGCCACATCAGCATGATCAGGGCCACATCCGGGTCTCTAGGGCTCTCTCCAGGGCCACATCCAGGTCTCCATCACTACATCCGGCTCTCTATGGCGCCATCCAGGTCTCCGGGGTCACATCCGGATCTCCAGGGCCACATACGGGCTCCCAGGGCCACATCCGGGTCCTTAGAGTCACATGGGGGTCTCCAGGGCCACACCCGGGTCTCTAGGGCCACATCTGGGTCTCCCAGGGCTCCATCCGGGTCCCCCAGGTCCACATCCGGGTTGCCAAGGCCACATCGGGGTCTCCCAGGGCTCCATCCAGGTCCACATCAGGTCCCCAGGGCCACATCCAGTTCTCCCAGGGCCACATTCGGGTCCCCACGTCCACACCCGGGTCCCAGGGCCACATCCAGGTCCCTAGGGCCATATCCGGGTCTCCAGGGCTCCATCCAGGTCTCTAAGGCTTTATCCAAGTCTCTGGGTTCCATCAGAGTCTCTGGGCTCCATCCGTATCTCTGAGCTCCATCCAGGTTCCTAAGACTCCATCCGGGTCTCTGGGCTCCATCCGAGCCCCTAATGCTCTATCTCAATCTCTGGGCTCCATCCAAGTCTCTGGGCTCCATCCGGATTCCTAAGGCTCCATCAGGTCTCTCAGCTCCATCTGGGTCCCTAAGGCTCCATCCGGATATCTGGGCTCTATCAGGTCTCTGGGCTCCATCCGGGTTCCTAAGGCTCCATCCAAGTCTCTGGGCTCCATCCAGGTCCCTAAGACTCCATCAAGGTCCCTAAGGCTCCATCCGGGTCTCTGGGCTCCATCCGGGTCTCTGGGCTCCATCCGGGTCCCTAATGCTCCATCGGGGTCCCTAAGGCTCCATCCGGGTCTCTGGGTTCCATCCGAGTCCCTAAGATTCCATCCGGGTCCCTAAGGCTACATCCGGGTCTCTAGGGCCATATCCGAGTCTCCAGGGCCACATCCATTATCTCCAGGGCTCCCTCCAGGGCCACATCTGGGTTCCAGGGCTCCACCCTGGTCTCCAGGGCCACATTCGGTTCCTCAGGGCCACATAGGGGTCTCCAGGGCCACATCCGGGTCTCCAGGGCTCCCTCCAGGGCCACATTCGGGTTTCAAGGGCTCTATCCGGGTCTCTAGGGCTCCACCCCTGTCTCCAGGGCAACATTCGTGTCTCCACACCACATCCGGATCCTCAGGGCCACATTCAGGTGTCCAGGGCTACATTCAGGTCTCTAGGGCTACATCAGGATCTCTAGGGTCACATCTGGGTCTCCAGGCCCACATTGGGGTCTCCAGGGCTCCATCCGGGTCCAGGGCCACATCCAGGTCTCCAGGGCCACATCCGGGTCTCCAGGGCTCCCTCCAAGGCTACATCTGGGTCCCAGGGCTCCACCCGGGTCCCAAGGGCCACATCTGGGTCCCCAGGGCCACCAACAGGTCTCCGGGCTACATCGGGTTCTCTGGGCTCCATCCGGGTCACTGGGCTCCATCCGGGTCTCTGGGCAACATCTGGGTGTCTGGGCTCTCTCCGAGTCTCTGGGCTCTCTCCAGGTCTCTGAGCTACATCCGTGTCCATAAGGCTCCATCCGAGTCTGGGCTCCAACCGAGTCTCTGGGCACCAGCAAGGTCCCTAGGATCCATCCGGGTTCCTAAGGCTCCATCCGGGTCCCTAAGGTTCCATTCGGGTCCCTAAAGCTCCATCCGAGTCTCTGGGCTCCATTAGGGTCTGTGGGATCCATCCGGGACCCTAAGACTCCATCCGGGTTTCTGGGCTCCATCCAGGTCCCTAAGGCTCCATCCAGGTCCCTAAGGCTCCATACGCGTCCCTAAGGCTCCATCCGGGTCTCTGGGCTCAATCCGGGTCGCTAAGGATCCATTCCGGTCTCTGTGCTCCACCCGGGTCTCCAGGGCAACATCCGGATCACTGCGCTCCATCTGGGTCTCTGGGCTCCATTAGAGTCTCTGGGCTCCATCCAGGTCTCTGGGCCCCATCCGAGTCTCTGGGCTCTATCCGGGTCTCTGGGCCACATCAGGCTCTCTGAGCTCCATCCGGGTCTCTGGGCCACATCGGGCTCTCTGAGCTCCATTCGAGTCTCTGGGCTCTCTCCAGGTCTCTGAGCTACATCCGGGTCCCTAAGGCTCCATCCTCTTCTCTGGGCTCCATCCTAGTCTAAGGGCTCCATCCGAGTCTCTGGGCTCCATCCGAGTCTCTGGGCTCCATCCGGGTCCCTAAGGCTCCATTCCGGTCTCTGGGCTCCATCCGAGTCTCTGGGCTCCACCAGGGTCTCCGGGCCACATCCGAGTCCCCATTGCCACATCCGGGTCCACAGGGCCACCTCCAGGTCTCTGGATTCCATCGGGTTCTCTGGGCTTCATCCGAGTCTCTGTGCTGCATCCGGGTCTCTTGGCTCATTCCGGGTACCTAAGGCTCCATCCGAGTCTCTGAACTCCATCCGGGTCCCTAAGACTCCATCCGAGTTCCTAAGGCTCTATCTGGGTTCCTAAGGCTCCATCCGAGTCTATGGATTCCCTCCGGCTTACACAGAGCCGGGCGGGGATACTACACCTTCCCGAAGCCTCAGCGGCGGCGGCGACGCTCTACGTGTGGGCTGTACTGGCCTGAGTGACAGGTAGCCGACCCAATGGCTTCCCCGGTCTCAGACTCCGGACCGCTCAGACCTGGGGTGGGTGTGTGCTTCCTGTTTCGGAGGCGTCTGCTCGGGGCGGAAATGGTGTGGAAAGGAACCGTGTTTAACCCAGCTGTCTTCTTTCTCTTCTTTGAAAAAAAGCTCTGAGGCCTAATTTTCCTGACCTAAATGATCATTTTTCGTCTGTCACCTGTGGGCCATATTTCCTGGTTTCACATTGCCCAGCCACCCTCTGCTTGGACAGGGTGGACCGGGGAGACTACAACTCCCCAAAGCCTCAGCGGCAGGGCGCTCTGCGGCTGGGCTC